TACTCTCATAGAGCACGCTCTTTCAACCAATGAGAGTACGTGTTATATCCGAGCTTTATTATAAAGCATGTCATAGAATGGTTTTTCATAAATACTGATTCCCAAGAATATAACCCACATTTGGCTACTGCTTATCTCTTCTTGTAGACAGCTCTTATTACTTTCATCCTGGCGAGAAGAGTTTTCCGTAAATCACAAGTTTTTTTTGCCCTTTGTCCTTCGCGTTACGACGCCGGACGCATCTAATCTTTTGCTCTCTTTCACGTTTGTAGAAAAAGAAAGTGAAGAAAGATTTCAATGGCCCAGATAAAACTGAACGAACAATCTCAGTCTTTTGTTTTTTTCCTGTTTGCATATTTTGGGGTTGCTAAAATGGCATTCACATCTTAAGTGAGTGACGTAGATTTCTTGTTAATTGAGTAATGTGGGTGTCAAAGGGTGAAAGCGGGCCTCATTTACAGGCGCCTCTTCTTCTCGCTCTCCGGAGGTAAGAAGTGAGAGTGCTGGAAACTGGAAACTACGTTGTTGTCCATTTCGGCCTTTGTGAGGCTGGGAAGGGAGGGGTGGGTGACTGCCTCTTTTTTTTTTTTCTTTCTAAGAAAGCTAGTGTTTTTTTTTTTTAGGCAAGAAGAAGCAGGAATACAGTCCAAACACTCTGCCTTTGAACCGCCAGATTCCCTTCCCTAACATGTTGGTCATTTCCGGTTTTTAGCCCAGAGTTCATCAAATACTGCGCTTTCGTCATTGCAAAAAAGAAATAATTTGCCATCCTTTGCTTAGTTTGCTGAGGTAAATTAGCGTTGGCCTCAGCCGGTTTGCAAACAAGAAAAGCATGAGGAAAAACGATTATATATAGTTCCTTTATTTCTATGCCACTTCCGATTACGCAAAGCCCTCTCCCTCCCCTCCCTCTCTGAATTTGTCTTGTTAATAGAAAGTACCAGACACTAAATTGTTGTATAACTGGGTTTTCGTTTGCGGCAAAAGGTGACGCAATAATGAAAGCGAAAAAAATTTTATGGTAAGCTAGACATGCTGTTTTAGTCTTCTTTCTTCTCACACTGTTTTTGGCTCTTTCTAACCATCGGCCAAAATTTGACCGATGTTTTTTGGGGGAATGTCTTGAAATATTTAGAGCGTAGCTGTTGTGTGACTCTCTTAGTAAAGCTGCGGAGTTCCCAATTTTCAGCTTTCCTTTTTTTTTTAAGCTTTTTCCGCCTCTCCTCCGAGATGAAACCTTTTGCGGCCTTCTAATTCTACGCATCGCGCAGAATGCTTATTGTTCTCGCGAAATTTACTTGCAGTAGTTAAAATATTATAGATCTGTAATATTGGCAGTGAAGCGCGATCTAGAGAGCTTTGATTGGTCAAAGGTTACGCGGGCTTTCCTCCTCAGGGAGTATTGCTTTAGTTCATTAAACGTTCAAGATTCTTTATGCTATTGTTAGAAAAAAATTACACATTACGTGCGTATGTTATAAGCTGGATGAGCAGCATTGGTTAGTTTCGTTCTCAACTGTTTTATTTGTTGTTCTTCCACGAAAATCCTGTTGTTTTTTATTATTGATTCCTTTTTGTAAATTTGTTGTAAACCGTTTCTTTTAGCACCTCTTGATCAACGTCAGCGCTAAACACCGATCGTGTGCCGCATTGTGAGAGGAGGCGGAGCTAGAGAAAATTAACATACCCGTGGGAGTTTTGAAAAAGGTCCCACCGAAGCCTGTGGAAGACAACTTTAGCGGACAAGCCGAGGTAATAAGCGACATTTCCAGAAAATCACAAAATATAGTCTCTTTAGGACCTGATTCTCTTCCTTCCATCTGCTTCTACAATGTACTTAATGCTCACTCAAGGTAAGAGCGGTAGATAAGAACAATTTCATTTTCTCTTATTTCAGAGAAATCCCTCTTTTCCCCATTGAACGAAGTCAGATTTTTGTCCTCGATTAAGTTTGTGTCTGTTACCTTTTGTGATTAGACACTTTTACTCAAGGAACACTTTCTATTATCCCACGGATGCTCTCTTAATGGAGGTCCCTTTGTAGAACCATTGTATCTGTTGCCTTTCTCAAAGTGACACCTCTGTTAATGGGACACTTTTTCTAGTACCATGGTTGCCCCCCCGAATGGAGGTTCCTTTGTATAACATTTGCATCTGTCAACCTTTTCGAGGTGACACCTTCGTCGAAGGGACGTTTTTTATCTCACCGAGATTGCTCCCGTGAGGAGGGTTCTATTTAAAAAAAAGACGAGAAGACCTCTTAACATTCCTTGTTGGAACTCATGTTTATTAGGAACGAGGAGCTCTTTAGCTCGTAAAATATTCTGTTGTGTTTGATGTTATTTCTTGTTTTTTCTTTTGTTTGTTTGTTATGATTTGTCTTTTTCTTATTGTTGTTATTTTACAAATCCGCTTGAAGGTATAAGCAGCTTATAATTGCGAGTAAAAGTCATTCGTCAAAAGAATTTGTAAGGCAATGATTATTGTAGACATACATCCATTGATTTATCCACGAGGCGGTTTTATCTAAATTCAGTGAAACGTTCCTACAGGGGACGCCTTGGAGACTAGAAATAGAGCCCCATGAATTGATCTGCCCCTTCCATGAAGGTAACATGCTGAGGTTGCGTCGTGGAACCTGCCTTGAGGGGACACCTATGAAACTAGAAAGAGTATCCTCCAAATAAGAGTGCCCCTTAAGTCATAATTGATACAGAGATGTACAAGAAAACAAGTTCCACTGTAATCCCACTTAAAACGTTTTTTCTTCCCTTTCATTTTGTGAAAGAATTTGACGCTCAATTGCTTCAACTGACTTGGATTCTAATTCGCCAATTTCCCCCTAAACATGAGCAACAACCGCTGTCCTTCAAATTAAGCGAAAGAAAATTGAATTAAATCGTTCATAGAAATCTGTAGAATGAAACAATATTAGGGAAAGGAAAACTCGAGACGGGTATCCTTATGAGACGGGTATCCTATTGAGTTACTATTCTGTTATCCTGTTGAGCTACCATTCCTTTTCGAGCTTCACTACAAGACTTACACGCTTCTAAAACACTGTAGCTTGCTGGCTTGTGTGATTGTTTGTAACGCGTGTGAGACAACTTGATCTTGCCGGCCTCACCTAGTCATTACAATGTTCACACATGCGCAGACGTTTGACCGCTGTGTTCTTGTGGCATCTTTTCATTCGCAGGTTATCATAAGACACGTCAAGAAGTTTTTTCTCTTTATGAGATTTCGGTTAGTTTTTAATTTTAAGTCTTCTTGATCTGTTTCCTTTGCACTTTCCACAAGGGATCCCTTTTGACTTATACAAGGAAGTTTGCGCCATGCAGAAGTGGGTGACAAATTGCCTAACTTTTTGCTCTTTGTTCTATTTATCGTTTAGGCGTTGATAAGCGTATTCTAGTTTGGGATCTAGCAGAGGGGACATTATTGACAGAGCTAAAAGGACACTCAGAGACAGTGTACTCTTTGATGTTTAGTAGAGATGGGAATTTGCTGGCCTCAGTTTTGTTTTGTTTGTGCTTCGAAAGAAGTCAAAGGAAAAAAGAATTAAACTAGTGAAGCCTCTCGTCATCTTTGCAAGTTAAGTAATGACTTCTTTGGATTATCCAATTTATAGCCGTTTTCATGTTTCTTATGGGTAGTGCGCAGTAAGTATTTTACCCACATTGCCGTAGGCTATGAGTGAATGAGGGAGTGTAAGAGTGTAGGCCCGCAATACATGCGTGAATTTTGAATTACTAGTTAAAAGCACGTCGCTGTTTTCATCTTTGCTTCTCAGCAGGAAAGCAGTTGCACATATTTATTTTTTTCTTCCAGGTAGAGTAGATAACTGTGTAAAGCTGTGGAACGCTCGCTCTATATGTAATCCAGATGATGACGACGATGAAAGAACAGACCCGAAGTAAGTGTTACAGCTTTATCCCTCAGTGTATGATTACATTTCGTGTCTTGATTACTGTAAGCTCGAGCTATTGCGCCTGTTAGATTGTTCTGCGCACAATTATACGTAAGTGTGAATCAAGATGCAAGAGATGAAACGTGATAAATAAAACCAGTCGATATGTAATTTTGTTAAAAGAATCTGAGTTTGGGTAAAAGCCCGAGTGAAATTTAGCGTGTTATTTTGTGGATGGAAGAAAACCGGAAAAAGCCCCTAAGGTGTGCACATGTGACGTCAGGTCTGAGGAATGAACACAGGCCAGCGCGGTAGGAGGCGGATGCTCTCACCACTGCGCCATCCCAGTTCCCTTTAAATATTTTGTTTGATTCTTTTTTTTTTTATATTTATGTATTCTTTCTTTGTCTCAGTCGCGCGTCTACAAAAAGCAACGCATTTGAAGTGGGTTCTTACCCAACCAAGAGGACTCCAGTGCACTGTTTACAATTCACGCTTAGAAATCTGTTATTAGCGTCAGGACCTTTCACAGCCTCATTATGAGGGCGTAGATGAGGGTAGGAGTCCAAGGGTGCTTTTGACCTCCTTGACTAGGACCCAATTCTCCCCTCTCCCCCGTCCATGTCAATGGGATAAGACTATAGCTGCATTATGCTGTACTTGTAAATACTGTATAAACACAAATTTTGTAAATTAAAAACCATTTTATAAGCTTCAAAGAAAGTATCACTTCATTTATTTTTCCCTGGTTTTTCTCTAAAAGACGGCCGTATTCTTATGAAAAAATGGATTTTTTTTCTTTTTGAGGGTTCCAAACATTTAAAAAAGACCAAGTAAGGAGATCTGATAAGAAATAATCTCATGTAGCTGCTTTTAATTCCCAAAAATAGTTTGATGAGTTTGTTGATTTGGAAGCGCAGGAAAAACGCTGGTGACCAAGTCGTGATTGGTTCTTGTTTTGCATCTGATTGGTTGAGAGAATGGTGCGAGTTGTCCGGACCAATCACAGAGCGCTGAAAAGCAAAACCAACGTCAGTCTGGATTACTTTTGACATTAAATGGAGATTTTTCGTAATTACTTTCTAAACTCGGATGCATATAACCAGCTTTTACTTTGTGGTGGAGTTTTTCGTTCCCTTGTTGTACATGTTTTTCGCGTACGCAAAGATCGCTGTAAGTTTATGGAAAAGAAGCAAAAATGAAACGATTCACAAGGCAGTTGCCAAGGCCAAAATGAAATCAACTCGGTTGATGGTCGCTGCTTTCGTAGTTTTGGTGTTCTGTAGGCCGCCAATCTTAGTATTGCAATTACTGGAGGTGTATAGAGTATTTGACAACCGATCATTTAAAAATACATTCTTAATTTCTATTTGGTGCGCAATGGCGCAGATATCCAGCTCTTCTCTAAGCCCTGTCATCTACACATTCCTGAGCCCTGAGTTTAGGACAAGCGTTCTCAAACACTGTTGCTTCTTTTGTTCTCGTCGCGTGTCTATTCGTGGTCATCAACATTGTCCTTTAGGTCGCGTGGAGCCTGTCACTTGACACAGACGAATCACTGCGGAAAATCATCAGAACATTAAGTTTTCCGCGTATGTACCCAGTGCATGTCTATTTTTGGAGTCACTTCGCAGGGGACTGAGTACAGAGAGCGACTAACGACAAGGGTTAGGCCGAAGGACTAAGACACCACTATTTTGGCTCAGGACACGTGGAGTCTGTTATAACCTACAAATATTAGCAAGTTTGTGTACGCACTGCATGCCTACTTTTTGATTGGGCTCCGCTGACCAAGTGGGAACAACAAGCGCGCAGAGGGAGTGACTGGTGACAACAATGGAGTGCAGGGGATCCCTTCCATGTTTGCACCTTCTCCTCTTTTAGCAAAAAAAGCCTTGACTAGTCTTCTTTGCGTTTCTCACATGTATGAAATGCTCAAGATGGCCTTCCTTATTTCAATGCCGTACCTGGCCGAAAAATATTTACGTCCTTAGACCGACCAAAATCAGCTTCTTAAAAACTAAATTGGGGTTTTTAAGTGAATATCGTCTTAAATTCCAAAAACTGTTTACCGATGGATCCAAAGAAATCTACTGAGAAGCAGGAGAGGCACGCACTGCAGGCTTTTATGAATCTTGACAAAACTGGTGCACAAGAAGACTTTAAACTTACACGGAAATGTGTAGCATCGAGAGAGGAGAATTAACAGTCAGATCTTAGGAGCAAAAGGGTTACCAGTCAGATAAGACTTGACTTTCATAGTATGTTGCCGATCCACTTTTCCTGGTTGTTTTTCGAAGACCATATTGAGAGAGGTCTTTTCTCTAACCTCCTTCTCTGAAAATATATGCCATTCAACTTTATGTCACTTGACATTGTTTTGCAGCATAATCTATTTTTGCTTGTTTCCGAAGAAGTCAGGAAGATTATCGTGAAGACGACCTTAACAAGTTGGCAGCCACAACACAGCGTGAACACATGAAAAGCAATGAGCTCATGGGAACCTTAAGGTATTGAAACAGAATTTGTCCCAAGTTGCTGGTCCCTCAAAAAACTCAATCCGCAATCCTCAATTCTCAATCTTTGATTAACCTTATTAACCCTTTCACCCCCAAGATTGAAGTATCAATTCTCCATATTGTTTGTCATACATTACTTTAATTTTAGACCAGAGAATTTAGTACTAAATCAAATGGAAAATCACCAAATTGAAAATTTTCTCTCTTCTATTTTCCTTTTTACTTGAAAATATATTGGATGATATTGTAAGGAGAAAATCAATTGTATTTTATGGGTTTTATTTATCTTCTTTTTTTCAGGATCAACAGTAAGAATTGCTTCTTACCTTGATTCAGTGATGTACACCTTCACTCTGATGGTAAGATTTCAAGGTGTCCATTAGGCTTTGGAGATTGGATGTTATCTTAACTTTTACACAGAATTCTCTGTTTCTATACAGTATTCTCTTGCATCTTAACCCTTTAAGTCCCACTAGTGCATGACCATGCAAGACAGAATTTCTCCTTACACTAGCTGTCAATATGATATCAAGCTGACAAGTAATGAGAATAAAGAGAAATATCAATTAGGGGATTATTGGTTGATCTAATTCCAAATTCTCCAAACTAATGTCACATAAATTATATGGCTGACAGCAAGGAGAATGGCTAATGAAATCTTGGGAGTTAAAGGGTTTATTTCTTTATGACAACGCTGAGATGTTTTTTGATTTATTTACATAATTTATATCTAGTTCAGTTCTCCTCTCTCAGAGGTGGTAAATTTTTATTTTTTGCCTTTTAAATTTGATACAATATTGAGTCAGCAGGTTATAGGAAGGCTCTATTACTTGTTGCTGTTCATGAAATGAGCTTGAGTTTGCCCAGTTTTTAAAGGGTTAAGGATTGCTTTTCTTTGGATAACCAGGGATTGAGAAGTTTTTTCTGTGTTAATTAGAAAGTTGCTCTACAATCTAAAAGGATGTGTAAGAATTGATTGGAACTTTTTGTTGTTTAGATATTTTTCCTGTTGTCCTGTCTAACTGCAGCAGGGTTTGCAATGGTTGTTCATGACATGGTTGTTAGTACACCAATGGTTGTTTAAGTGCCATGAAATGTGGTATGTTTGGGGAATAATGCCAGTGGGAAGGAGAGCAAAACTTCAGGGACTGTGGTCAAACTTCCACGCTATGGAGGGAGTCCAACTCTTGTGTCTGGCTGGTTTTTATTGTACATTAAATTATTGTTGTTCTTCAGCACAAAGCAGTGTACATACACATATAAACCCTTTTCCCTTTCTTATCTGCAAGCTTTGTGGATTAACTTTTTAACCCCCTGAACTTTCCTGTCCTGGCTTCGCATAGAGTCTGGATGTAGGAATCCTATGTAGGGCATATAATGATGTGCTGAGGGACTACGTTACACTAGTAGGGTACAATGTAGTCTTCAAGCCCAGGTTACAATGTAGATGAGCCAGTTATCCTTGGAAATGGAAACTGTTTGTTCATGAAACTTATTGTGAAAACATTTCTTTTCTCGCTGCAGCCAACAAAAGCAAGGTGTATATGGAATTCCACCAGAACCTGATCTTTGAGTTGTTCTCAAAGAGGAAAATGTGAAGGAAGATAAAGATAGGCCAAAAGTGAGTACATTTTGAAAATATGGAGTGGTATTTAATTTAGTGAGGGAGGTTTGCATTGTAGCTTTAGTTTTGCCATACTATGTTTTTCAAATAAATTATCTTACCTGGGAATGAAAGTTGCCTAATTGTTTTGCCTCTTAAACCCTTTCACTCCCAAGATCTCAGTATTCATTCTCCTTACTATATGCAGTACAATTGGTATGGTGTTAGTTTGGAGAATTTGGTTTTGGATCAATCAATAATCCCCAAATTGATGTTTTTCTTTTTTGTTATCACTTTTCTGCTTGATTTGCATTGGTATTGTAAGGGGAAAATCTCTCTTGGTCACTCATGAGATTAAAATAAAGCAACACTGGCAATGATAATGACGATGAAAACTTAATTAAATACAAAAGGTCAAACAGTTGAGTGACACACTTTATTTTTCAGATGATATAATTATACAAAGTCAGTTCACTTTGTTTATCAATGCCACTTATTTAGATGTGCAGAGCTTCTTATTTATTACAAAACCAGATAAATTCAAATGAATCCACTATACTTGAAACAGTCTTATGCCCAGGCCTCCAATGGCTATGCTAAGCCCCTTATTTCATTTTTAAATATGAATGTAAGCATTATGTGGGTTCTGAGGTCATCAACATTTAAACTCTAACAAATATTTTCAATCCTAAGAATTCTGCTTACATTTCAAATCATGATTTCCGTTTTGAAATGGTAGGTTGATCCTTTCTTAAGCTAAATCTATTTTTCAGCTGATAGTTACCAATAATGTTTGTAGACAAGGTTCTGTTTTTGGCTGAAAAATTGAAAGCCATCCACTTGTTCTCTGAACTATTCATATACAAAATTGACTGATGACATGACAGCTCTTCACATGCTGATACAGCCCTTGGTTTATCAAGTTCAGTATATTTTCTGTGTTTGACTGAAACATATTAGTTTGATTCACTCAACACCTGAATCTCTTATTCAAAAATTCTCTTCACCTAGAATATTTACTATATATACAGAACTCTCAAGAAATTTTCAAAATACACCACCAAAAAAGGGTTTAAATTTCTTTGAAAGGATCTTTCTACAACTTATATGTTTTTTATTTAATTCTATCTACAAAAAACTCACAACTACAGTCACAGATTTTCATATCTATATTCCACTTAAAAGGTGAAAAATGTTCAAAATCAGAAGTGACTGTTATTTTTTGTTGTTATTATTGTACATGAACCAAATCATAATGAATAACCACAACCTTTTGTTTGTTAAAATAATGAATATCAGATGTATCTGAAAAGTTCTGTAAACATCATGATAACATCAATAGCAATATCCTTACATCAGAATGCTTCACAGGCGTACATCATGGATTTGATTAACCTTTTTTCAGTCCTACCACTCCGCCAAAATTATGTGCACCAAAGAATTTCTCTTCGTTTCTTCCTTATTACTTTATTTCTATTCATTTGTTAATTTTATATAAAACTCAATTAATATATTAGTAACCAGTTAAATTTTGCTCTTCTCAAGATAAGCCAAACAGTTCACCAGAGCGAACGTGGACTACTCAATTATCTGAATACAATGGTCAACAGCATCAGTAAAAACAAATCTCCCTGTACTGAGAACAGCTAGTGCATATGGATCCAGAGTAGAGAATTTTCCTAACTGTTTACCTTTTTTTTCAAACTTACCAACAAACTTTCCATTTAGTTCAAAGACTTGTATTCTACCATTCCCTGAGTCACAGACCATAACTTGTCCTGACTTGTTCACTAACAAACATCTTGGAAATATAAACTCCCCGTCCCCTAATCCCCTCTTTCCAAACTTGTACAGAAAATTTCCATTCCTGTCAAAAACTTTGATACAATGATCACTATGGTCTGACACTATGAGATATCTTTCATACTGAATACAGTGCAAAGGAAAGGTACAAGAGACGTGCCCACCTATCTTTGTCAGAAAGTTGCCTTCAGGAGAAAATATCTTTATCAGTTTGTTACCTGCGTCTGCAATAATGATATTCCCCTCACGGTCTACAGACAGGCCCATGGGATTATTAAGCTGACTATCAAGGTCTTCTTTCCCACCAAAACATCCCACGAACTCACCCTCACCGCTAAAAATTTGAATTGTATGGTTATTACAGTCTGCTACAAAAATATTGCCATTATTATGAAACGTTATTCCCCGAGGACTGATAAATTCTCCCGCATTGTTACCCTTCTTACCAAATGATCTCAAAAACTTTCCTTCACTACTGAAAATTTGAACTCTGTAGTTACTTTGATCAGTTACAGCGATCTCGTCATTAGCATTCACTGCAACCCCCCAAGGCCGAGAAAACTTTCCAACCGAAGAACCCTCCCCGCCAAAAGACGAAACAGGTCTAAACTGAAATGGTTTGACGCGGACAATAAATTGACCGCCGTGCACACGTTCCCCGTTTACCTTTATTGCTACTTTACATCTTCCTTCATTTATTGTCAGTTATTTGCAAATCCGTTGTGCAGTCGCGTCCTTGTTCGTCAATGATCTCCACCGTTACACGGTCACCTTCATTGTAACATTGTCTTCCTTTAGAGTCCCTTGTGGTCAAAGAAAACTGTGCTTGACGATTAGTAATTGCTTCTTCAAGTCCTTTTCCTTCGGCGACTGACTGACTTGCTTTTGTTTGGTGTGCTATTTTAACCATTCCGATTTCTTCGGCGTTTATGGTGCTTAGCATCTTTGGGTTTTCCACGAAAGCTAAAACAGGAAGCTTTTCCGGGTAACGGTCTTTTGGCTGGCTTTGACTAGTTTCATGAAAGATTTCCTCGAATGATTTCTTTAGTTGAACGACTTCGGCGCGTGTGCTTCGTTTTAGAATTGTATCAGCTTTTTCCAACGATGATTCGATGATCTTTATTTCACTCTCGATCTCCTTCTTTTGCGTTGCTAGAGTTTCGAGGAATATCTTCGTTTCGTCGTCTATCGCTACGATGATTTTTTGTTTCTTCGCTTCAATAGCTGCAATTAAATCATCGACAAACTTCTGCACTTGTCCCTTGATATCTTCGCTTCGTTGTGTGAATTTGGCGTAGTCTTCATTAAGTCGACCCAAAGTGTTAATCTTTGCTTGTATATCGTGCTTCTGTATTTCAATCAGTGATTTTAGTTCCATCTTTTGTCTTTCCGCCTCTTCCTCTAGGCACAATATGGCGTGACCCGTATGGTGTATCAAAACACAGCTTTGGCAGGCTGCCGTTTCGCAGTTCTTGCAGAAGTATTTAAGTTCTTCTTTCTCATGCCGCTGTTTAGAGAAGAACAAGGGTCGTTTCAACACATCCTCGTAATCCTTTTCTTGAAAGTCTTTGAGCGCTAGAACTCGGTGATCTTTATTCCTTTGAATGATGTTATGTGCAATGAGGCACTCTTCACACCAAAACATGCAACACTGGAAACAGTAAGAACTGTGGGAACTCTTCTTTGGACAGTTTCCACATCCAACATGGCTGGTTTTGCATTCTTTAATGGCCAGCACATCAATCAAGCCGTTCAGATAAAAACTGGTGGGAAGATCTTTCAGATCGCCACTATCAGGCACTTTACTAACAGCTTGGCATTTCGGGCATCTGATTGTGTCTCGGCCATGGCCTGATCTGTGCCAGTGTTTCAAGCATTGCAGACAGAAACTGTGAAGACATGGGAGGTGCTTTGGATCTTTGTATATGTTAGTACACACTGGACAAGAAACTTCTTCACGAAGATTGTGGAGCAACGTTTTGATATCCATGGTTCGTCCGTCTTTTTTGAGGAGAGAGCGAGAACAGTGGCTTCAATTCTCGGAATTTGACTCGAAACAATGAAGTCTTGTGACTTTGTATTGTTTTCAAAACTTGTTTTGTTATTTGTTATGGTTGTCTTTTCCACTGCATCAGCCAATCAGGGATCCTTTTCCGTAAAGCATGTCATGGAATGCTTTGTCATGAATACTGATTCCCAAGAACGTAATTTTAACCCTCAGGTATCTGGCTACTGCTAATCTCTTCTTGCAGACAGGTCATATTGCTTTCATGCTGGCGAGAAGAGTTTGCGTTGAATCACAAGTTTTTTCTCTTCCTCTCTTCTTGTTTTGCCTTGTGTCCTTCGAGCAAAAAAATAAATTTCATATATAGCGAGCGTGCTTGCCTCTACATTTCTAAATGATACTGCGAGCCTTCAATGATTTCCCTGGTAGTTTAACTCGCGGGGTTGTAAGGGTTGCTATGTTTTAGTCGTTGCATTTCGCAACTTTGCGTTACGAGGCCGGACGCATCTAATCTTTTGCTCTTTTTTATGTTTGTAGAAAAAGAAAGTGAAGAAAGATTCCAATGCCCCAGGTAAAGCTGAACGAGAAATCTGTCCTTTTTTCCTGGTCCCAGTTGTATAAAGGGTGGAGAACGCTATCCAACGGATAAATCGCTATCCAGGGGATAAGTGATAACAAAACGTATAGCGTTATCCACCGGATAGAGATCTATCCACTGGATAGCGTTATCTGATCTTGGAACAACCGTGTGAAGTTTTTTTTCTCTCTTCTTCGAGGGTCGTCTTTCATCCGAACTGCAACTAAATCGCCAGCGGGTCATGTGACCGGACCGTCTGGCTCTGGGACACAGGCAGCTCGGTCCGGTTTTTCACGGGACACAAGGTACGTGTGAGAGACTGGGTACTACTGCCTTTGTTCTCATTTAGGGTCATTTTATTTTCTTAACTTTGTAACTGCCATGATTTCTTGCCTCATTTTACAGGGAGCGATATATTCACTGGACTTTTCACCTGATGGCCGGGTGAGATGTGTTTTGTTTCCTGCCCCTTGGGACTAACACAGCGGTCAAACGCCGGGAATACGCCTGGGGATAATTTCCGGCCAGCCGCGCGGCAATTTCCCCAAAAAGATTAGCAACAACCGCTTCCTCAGAAATTAAGCGAAAGAGAATTTAATCGTTCATAGAAATCTGTGGAATGAAACAAAAGTAGGGAAAAAGAGAACTCAAGACGGGTATCCTGTTGAGTTACCGTTCTTTTTCGAGCTTCATTTTAAAACTTGTAGGCTTTTCAAACACCTTAGCCTGCTGACTTGTGTGATTGTTTGTAACTCGTGTGGGACAACTGGATCTTGCCGGCTTGAAAGCACTTCTCCTAGTCATTCCAACGTTCGCACATGCGAACACGTTTGACCGTTGTGTTCTTGTGACCATCTTTTCATTCGTAGGGTACCATAAGACACGTTAAGGAGTTTTTTCCTCTTTATGAGATTTCGGGTAGTTTTTAATTTTATTTCTTCTTGATCAGTTTCCTTTGCACTTTCTACAAGGGATCCCTTCTGACGTATACAAGGAAGGTTGCGCCATGCAGAAGTGGGTGACAAATTGCCTAACTTTTTGCTCTTTGTTCCATTTATTGTTTAGGCGTTGATAAGCGTATTCTAGTTTGGGATCTCGCAGAGGGGACACCATTGACCGAGCTAAAAGGACACTCAGATACAGTGTACTCTTTGATGTTTAATAGAGATGGGAATTTGCTGGCCTCAGGTATGTTTTGTTTGTGCTTCGAATGAAGTCAAAGGAAAAAAGAATAAAAGTAATAAAGCCTCACGTAAACTTTGCAAGTTAGGTAATGACTTCTTTGGATTATCCAAGTTATAGTTTTTATGTTATTTTTGTGGGTAGTGCACTGTAAGTATATTACCCACCTTGCCTTTGGCTGTGAGTGAATGAGTGAGTGTTAGAGTGTAGGTCTGCAATACATGCGTGAATTTTGAGTTAACAGTTAAAAGCACGTCGCTGTTTTCATCTTTGCTTCACAGCAGGAAAGCAGTTGTACATATTTATTTTTTGCTTCCAGGTGGAGTAGATAACTGTGTAAAGCTGTGGAACGCTCGCTTCATTTGTAATCCTGATGATGACGACGATGAAGGAACAGACCCGAAGTAAGTGTTACAGCTCTATCCCTCAGTGTATGATTACATTTCGTGGCTTGATTACTCTAAGCTCGAGCTGTTGCGTCTGTTAGCTCGTTCTGCGCCAAATTATACGTAATTGTGAATCAAGATACAAGAAATGAAACGTGATAAATAAAACCAGTCAATATGTAATTTTGTCAAAAGAATCTGAGTTTGGGTAAAAGTGCGAGTAGAATTTAGCACGTTAATTTTGTGGATGAAGGAAAACCGGAAAAAGCCCCAAGGGTGTGCATGGTCCACAAGTGACGTCAGGTCTGAGGGACGAACCCAGGCCAGCGCGGTAGGAGGCGGATGCTCTCACCACTGCGCCATCTCAGTTCCCTTGAAATATTTTGTTTGATATCTTTTTTTTTTTTTTTTTTTTTAATATGTATGTATTTTTCTTTGTCTTAGCCACGCGTCTACAAAAAGCAACACATTTGAAGTACCCAACCAAGAGGACTCCAGTGCACTGTTTACACTTCACGCTAAGAAATCTGTTATTAGCGTCAGGACCTTTCACAGCTGCATCATGAGGGCGTAGATGAGGGTAGGAGTCCAAGGGTGCTTTTGACCTCCTTGACTAGGACCCAATTCTCCCCCCTCCCTCTTCCCCTACCCCGTCCTAGCGCACAACTGAAAAATTCTCCTCCGTCCATGTCAATGGGGCAAGACTATAGCTGCATTATGCTATACTTGTAAATACTGTATAAACACAAATTTTGTAAATTAAAATCATTTATAAGCTTCAAAGAATGTATCACTTCATTCATTTTCCCTTGGTTTTTCTCTAAACGACGGCCGCATTCTTATGAAAAAATGGAATTTTTTCTTTTTGATGCTTCCAAACAGTTGAATAACACCAAATAAGGAGATCTGATGAGAAAAAATCTCTTGTAGCTGCTTTTGAGTCCAGTCATTTTTCTTGCAATCATCCACATCATGCAAAGCTTCGGTACTCGTCAGCTATACCTCTGCGGCGGCCATTTTCAACAGTTTGACTGCTATTGCGTGGGACCGACACAGAAACGCATCACGGTCTTTTCATAGCTTCAGCCAGAAAATTGAAGACATACCAACTTTTGGTTGCCTCGATTTGGTGTTTCACCCTCATAAATTCTCTCCCGTTTTTTTTTCTTTTTTTTTCAGTGTTAAGAGCCTCTCTCGTGTAATTTTCTCCAAAAAACAATGGCACTGAAAGTTGTAGAGATTATAGCTACTGCACGCTAGCTGGAGACTGGAAAGATTAGCTTACGAAAACCTTTTACTTTGTGGTGGAGTTTTTCGTTCCTTTGTTGTACAATGAAATAATTCACAAGGCAGTTGCCAAGGCCAAAATGAAATTAAGTCGGTCGATAGTCGCTGCTGTCGTAATTTTTTTTTGTTCTGCTGAGCGCCAATCTTAGTATCGCAATTACTGGAGGTGTATAGAGTATTTGACAATCAATCATTTAAAAATGCATTGTTAATTTCTATTTGGTGCGCAATGGCGCAGATATCCAGCTCTTCTCTAAGCCCTGTCATCTACGCATTCCTGAGCCCTGAACTTAGGAAAAGCCTTCTCAAACACTGTTACTTCTGTTGTTCTCATCGCATGTCTACTGGCGGTCGTCAACATTGTCCTTTAAGTCGCGTAGAGCCTGTCATCTGACACGGACAAATCACAGCGGAAAATCATCAGAACATCAAGTTTTCCGCGTACGTACCTAGTGCATGTCTATTTTTGGAGTTACTTCGCAGGGGCTGAGTACAGAGAGCGACTAGCGACAATTGTAAGGCCCCTAGGGACTGAGACATGCCACTATTTTGGCTCAGGACAATTGGAGTTTGTCATAAACTACAAATATTAACAAGTTTGTGTACGCCTGCATGTCTACTTTTTGATTGGGCTCCGCTGACCAAGTGGGAACAACAGGCGCGCAGTGGGAGTGACTAGTGATAACAGTCAAGTACAGAGGACCAGAGGGGACCAAGGAACAGGAACGGAACAAGTTCTAGACTCACTTCATCGTTTGCACCATGTTAGTTTAATTTAGTGAGGAAGGTATTGCAGTGTAGCTTTAGTTTTGCTATACTACGTTTTTCAAATAAATAATCTTACCTGAGAATGAAAGTTGCCTATGTTATGCTCTTAAACCCTTTCACTCCTAAGATCTCATTACTCTTTCTCCTTACTGTTTGCAGCACAATAAGTATGGTGTTAGTTTGGAGAATTTGGTTTTCGATCAAATAATAATCTCCAAATTGATGTTTTTCTTTTTCTTTTTTCTTTTTTCTTTTTTCTTATCACTTGCCTGCTTGACTTTTGCACTGGTATTGTAAGGAGAACATCTGTCTTGGTCACTCATGAGATTGAAATAGACATGCAATCATAATAAAGTAATACTGGCAATAATAATGATGATGAAAACTTCATTAAATACAAAAGGTCAAACAGTTCAGTGACACACTTTATTTTTTCAGACAATATGATATTACAGAGTCAGTTCACTTTCTCTATCAATGCAACTTAATTATCTACACGTGCAGAGCTTCTTATTTACTACAACTCCAGATAAATTAAAATGAATTCACTGTATTTGAAACAGTCTTATGCCCAGGCCTCCAATTGCCAAGCCCTTCATTCCAGTTTTATATATGAATGTAAGCATTATGTGAGTTCTGAGATCATTAACATGTAAACTCTTACAAATATGTTCAATCCTAGGAATTGTGCTCACATTTCAAAGTACAAAATAATGATAATGATTTCCATTTTGAAATGGCAGGCTAATCCTTTCTTAAGTTACATTTTTTTTTAGCTGATAGTTACTGATAATGTCTGTAGACAAGGTTCTGTTTTTGGCTGAAATATTGAAAGTCATCTGCATGGTTTCTGAACCATTCATGGCAAAATGCACCAATCACTTGGCTGCACTTCACATGCTGATACAGCCCTTGGTTTATCAAGTTCAATATATTTTCTGTGTTTATTTGACTGGCAAAACATATTAGTTTGATTCAGTCAACACTTGAAGTTCTTAATCAAAAATTCTCTTCCCTTAAAATACTTACTATATACAGAAATCTCAGTACCACTGTTATTTCTAAAATCTCAAGACATATACAAAGTACACAACTAAAGTAGGGTTTAAAGTTCTTTCTACAACTTATATGATCTACAAAAAATCTACAATTTACAACTACACTGTAACTTGCTCACAGATTTTCAAATCTCTATTCCACTTAAAAAATGAAAAATGTACAACATCAGAAGTGACTGTAATTTTTTGTTGTTATAATTGTACATGAGCCAAATCACAATGAATAACCACAACCTTTCATTTGTTAAAAGAATGAATACCAAATGTTTTGAAAAGTTCTGTAGACATAACATTCTTAGTAGCAATACGCTTACATTGGAATGCTTCACGGGCGAACGAAATGGATTTGATTAACCTTTTTTCAGTCCTACCACTCTGCCAAAAATCAACAGATATGTGCACCAAAGAATTTCTTTTCATTTCTTCCTTATTACTTTATTTCTGTTTTATTATTTTTTTTTTTACAGAATTCAACTAATTTATGTCGAAAGTCGTTGAATTTCACTTAATAATAATAAGCCAAACCGATCACCAGAGCGAATGTGGACTACTCAATTATCTGAATACGATGGTTAGTACCATCAGCAACAACAAATCTCCCTGTACTGAGAACAGCTAGTGCACCTGAATTACTGAATTGTCCTAAACTTTTTCCTCGTGTTCCAAACTTACCAAGAAACTTCCCATTCAGTTCAAAGACTTGTATTCTACAATTGCCTGAGTCACAGACCATAAGTTTTTCTGACTTGTTCACTGACAGACATCTTGGAACGGTAAACTCCCCATCCCCAGTTCCCTTCTTTCCAAACTCGTACTGAAAATGTCCATTCCTGTCAAAAACTCTGATACAATGAACTTTATGGTCTGACACTATGAGATATCTATCGTACTGAATACAGTGGATAGGAAGAGTAAAAGAGCCCTCTTCACCTATCTTCATTAGAAACTTTCCATCAGGAGAAAATATCTTGATCAGTTTGTTACCTGCGTCTGCAACAATTATATTCCCCTCACTGTCTACAGACAGACCCATGGGACTACTAAGCTGACTATCAAGTCTTCCTGCTCCACCAAAACGTCCCACGAATTCACCCTCACCGCTAAAAATCTGAATTCTATCATTGAAACTGTCAGCTACAAAAATATTTCCATTATTATGAAATGTTATTCCCCGAGGATAGTTGAATTCTCCGACCATGTCACCCTTCTTACCAAATGATCTTAAAAACTCTCCTTCACTACTGAAAATTTGAACTCTGTGGTTGTTTTGATCAGTTACTGCAATCTCGTCGTTAGCGTTCACTGCAACCCCCCAAGGCCAATTAAAATTTCCAACCGAAGAACCCCATTCACCAAAAGATAAAACAGGTCTAAGCTGAAATGGTTTAACACGGACAATAAACTGACTGCCGTGCACAAGTTCCCCGTTTACCTTTATCGTCGCTTTGCATCTTCCTTCTTTTCTTGCAGAATAACTGAT